GGGGGGGGGGGGCTCTGTAGAATTTAATTAAAATAAAATTGTACCTAAAATAAGATATCGCTGTTTATTTGCACATACCAGAAACCTGATTTCAATTCTTAAAAATCTCTGGATTTTCAAATAAGCCTAAAACATTCTGCCTCATGTATTCTCAAGTTATGACTCTCCTTACAAAAAATCGAAATGGCAAGAAGCACATCCCGATCTTTCCTTCAGCTCGTTTTAGCGCATGGTGAAGCAATATGCCGATATTTCGACGTACCTATTTCAGCGAAAAGAGGTAAGAGAAAATTTTTCTACATCGAAGCTACGAGAGAAAGGGCCACCGCAAAATCGATCGTCAACGATCGAATCTCTCGATAGAGGAAACAGCGTACCTCTGTTTTTCCTACAAATTGAATTCGGCCCACGTTAAATATTATCGGTTATTAAAAGCGACGTCGTGTGCGCGCACGTATGTATGCATGTGTGCGATCTGTCGATATTTTTCTGCTCCATGAACACTCTCTTTGCGATTTTCTCTCTTTTTTCTTTTTTTCTCTTTCTCTCTTTCTCTTCTTCCCTCCGTTTTTCTCTTTCTCTCTCTTCATCTCCCACTTCCCCATCCCGTCTTGCTTTGCCTGGATTAATTCCGCGGGTTACTCGTTAGGGGAAAGTCGGTGGTGTCGGTTTCCAGATCATAGCCACGCAATATATAGATCTGGAACGACATATCGATCGATGTGGATGAGAGCGGAATAATAATTTGCACTGTTATTGCGAACCCATCCGGCGAAATCAAACCGGGCCGGCGCGTGCGCCCTCTTATTCTCTCTTTCCCTGCAACCCCATGTCAGGATGTTCGACTTCTCTCTTTCTCTTGTTTCCTCCCCTCTCTCTCTCTCTCTCTCTCTCTCTCTCTCTCTCGGTCTCTTTAGCTCTTCTTGTTCATTATCTCCACCCACCTCCACTTTCTATCTTCCTCTCTTTCTTCCATCCATTCTTTTGAAGGTAGAATAAATGCTTTTATTGATATTCCCTCTACTCTTTATCTCCTCTTTTTTTTTTGCATCAGCCGGCCTCTACACGTACACACTTTAGGCACGCTTTGTTTGGCGGATGAGTGGAACAGCTACGAATATGCGAATGACAAGTGGCAATCGATTGGAACTCATCGTCTCCATCGCGTCGGCGCCCAACTCGTCGATGCTTCCAAAGACGCTTCGCGTCGATAGAAAATTACTGCCGACATGTACTTGTTCCGTCGTAATGGCTTCATCATCGTAGACGTAATGATATTCTCAAAACAATGGCAAGCGAGAGACAATCCCGCATAATCTCACGTGACATATTTGATTTCGCTTAACGTTTCGATCTAAATTATAAACATCGAACTAAACCTTTTTTATGTGACGTAATAAATTAAGAAAATACATTTTAAGTTACTCCATTCATATACATTTATCAGTTTCCATTTTAATATTCGTCATGTAATTTTTTTTTTTTCTTTTGCATTCGTATATCGTGTTCGTGTAAAAGTGGTTTCGTTTTGTTAGCGAAAGATTGATAAATAATTAATAAATTTCGCAAATAACTCCGTACATAACTTCGATGTTATTCTTGAGAAACTTGTCGACGGAACAAGGACGAAAGGAAAGAGCAATCTACTGCGCGGCGAGCGAGATGAGCAATCCTGGCCGACGTCAAGGAAGCATGGGAAAAGTATGGTTTACTTCAAAAACTTTTTACCGATAGCATAGCCAGCGGGCACTTTAAATAATCCTTCTGCACGCGGATATTAAATTTCTTACCGTGGCTCGCGGTGAGCGTGGCCGGGTGCTGTGGTAGTCCGTTTAAACGGT